AATCGCTGAGGAAAGCACGGTGCTGCTAATTTGCCTTTCTGCCCCTGGGACAGGTCCCCTGGCCCCGCCGCCTCTCGCTGCGGGGATGTTGGACTTTGTTCCGCCGAGGCTCGGGGCGGGGAGGCCCAGAGCTGAGCCTGGTGCTGTGCTCCCTCTCCTCGCTCCATCCATCTCCTCGCACCTGCTGGGAGGCGCGGACACGTCCCCAGAGCCGCAGCACCGGGGCCAGGGCAGCAGCAGCCCCGGGCCGTGCCGGGGGTGTTCAGGAGCTGAACAGGGGCTGAGGGTGCCCAGCCCCGTGGCCACGCTGCCGCCGAGCCGCCACGACAAGGGTTAAGGGAGTTTTGACGATTTTACTGCATGAACACTGTCGGCGAAACGCATTTTGAATCCCTGTTTAAAAGACATGTAATTGCCTCAGATTCTTTATATTATCATAACTCTTCAGAACTGATTGATTTTAGGTTTATGGAAAAATATGCAAATGCACAGAGAACGACACACATTCCTCATCGCGGGCATAAAAGCAGTTCACAGAGAATCCGTTTGATTGAGTTTGATTACTGAACAAAATCTAATTATTTTAGATACACGTTCAGGCTTTTCTGGAGAGGCGTGCTGAAGAGAAGAAATATTTGGTATACGTGAGTGCTGTTTGCCTGCTCAGGTTTGTTTATTCACATATATTTTGACAGTCCAGAATTTTAAATAATTGATACCGGCGTTCATTCTTCAGCGTCAAAGAAACAAACCTAATTGCACGAGGCGCGGTGCTGACGTGCTCGTGCGTGCGTGCCCTGTGTGCCCTGCGCCTCTGGCTGCACCTCCACAGTGCCTTCTGTGTCAGACCGGACAGGCCTGGAGTGTCGCGTCGTGCTGTGTCGTGCCATGTCGTGTCGTGTCGTGCCATGTCGTGTCATGTCGTGCCATGTCGTGTCGTGTCGTGCCATGTCGCATCGTGCCGTGCCGTGCCGGCAGCTCCGCCACAAGGAAGGGAGCGCGGCGAGGCGGTGCTGTCCCGCGTGCGGCTGTGCTGTGCTGGCAGGTGGGGAGCCACCGAGCCTGGGCCTGCGAGCCTTTTAAAGCCGCTCTGAATAATTAGCAAATCCCTCCTTCTCATAAACAATTATCATCCTCTCCCAATTACCTACTCAATTATGAGCTACAAAGTCTCTCACATTGAATTAAACCGTATGCTTTCCACAGGCACTTCTAGTAGGAACACTCCTGTCCGCCTGCTCCCCGGTGCACAAACTTTTTCTCCCCCAGCTCCCCCCTGACAGCCCTTCTCTCCTGCACCAAGCAGCAGCATGAAGCACCAAAACCCACGCCAGGAGGGCCATATCCACCCGAGCTGTGCTTAGCCAAGTCCTGAAACTCCAGCCCTCTCCTTCTTCCTTTTTCTTTCCCCTGCACTGGATGAATCAGGCGCTAACTTTGGGCGTTTTCTCCAGCTCAGTAGGCTGGCATGTCTCCGGGGCAGCAGGGAAGGCAGAGATGCCACTGCAGGTCTCCGTCTCTGGACAGACTTCAACAATTACAATTATTACGCATCAATATTGTGCCATCAAAACCCCCCATCCTTACACGTGGGCCTCGCTGAGGTCAGCATCGAGAAAGGGCAGGCTCTTCCCCTGTCAAGAACAACAGGAACAGCATGTTCTTTGGTCACTAACCCTTTTCTTTTCTCGGTAACCTGTGAACGTTTATCATCCACCCGAGTCATTTCCCCTTGCCTTTCAAGAGAATTTTTCCGAGTAGCTGAGTACCGCTGTTGGGTGCTGTTGGGACACGAGGGCTGCCCGCCCCTTAAGGAAATTGCTATGTGATAATTAGGTGTAGAGCCCCTCAGATATACCCTGTTATCAAATACAAAAGCATTACTTATGCATTCTGCTGTGAGACCCATCATTAATTAGGAGTTTTACATATTAATTGCAACACAGAAAAAAAAAAAGGCAGTTTTCCTCTCTTTGTGAAGCACTGAGGGATGCCGAAGGTGCATGGCTGCACTGAGAAAAGTGGGGTGGAAATCTCTGGCCTTTGGGTACAGCGGTGGGACGATGGCCTCAGTGAGGCAATGCCGGGGCTGGCAGTGGGCAGGCGGTGTGCCTGGCGGCGTGGGCACGGAGCCCACCCAGACCCCGGCACTGCCATGCTCCCCCCAGACCCCGCAGCCCCTGCACACTGCCTGCACCCTCGCTGCAGCCGAGGCAGGCTGGTGCCTGAACCTGAAGGCTATTGCCAAGGAGAAAACAAATCACACGGTATGTCAATAAGGGTTTGCACTGCATCATCTGTGCCAAAAAACTAACTCCATCTCCTCCACTTCAGTACGAATGAGAATTTATATGCAACTCCCCACTTCAGGTGGGCAATCCAAAGAAATTAACCTCAGGAGAAAATTGCTTTTTTCTGGCTTAACACATAGCTTATTATCATGTCAGGCAGAAGAGACAGTGGGGAAAATGCAAAATCACAGACCTGATACAACAGTGCATCCATACATTCACAACTCAAGAACCATTTATTAGGAGAAATGTTTAAAATCAGAAGAGCAGAGTTCATTCTTTATGGCAGCAGGCAGAGACTAGCAGTCCATCCTGTGGGCTAATAAAAGGCTACAAAACTTCAGCCCAAAATAGTATGTCTAGGGGAGAGATGTACTTACACTGCCAGCACTGACTTACAGACACGAGGCTGTTTTCTGCAAACACCCCAAAGCACTTTACAGACTGGGCAAAGTTTCCTGCATCAGGAAAAATAAGAATGAGAGCGAGTGAGTGCAGGTCACCTGATGACACGAGTTGTATTTATGCAATCTATGGGGATATCTATCACGATAAGCTTGATGCCACTGCTAACCAGAAGGCTAACTAGCAAACGAGGCTTGCAGCAGGGCTCTGGGGCAGGCAGAGCTGAGGACACGGGATGAGTGGGGAGGAAGTTTGCTCTCCAGGGGCTCGAGGGGGGTTTCTCCCCCGAACACACCCAGTCTGAATCCAGACATTCCAACAGAAACCATTTCTGTGGTGTGTGCCTGGGAAAGGGGTGGGGAATGTGGGTACAGAGCCGTGCAGTGCTGTTAGGTGGTGCAGGAGCAGTGCCCTGCCTGCCGCTGGAGGGGACATGTCCAGGGTCACACACAGGCCATGGTGAGGGCAGGAAAGCCACGGTGCTGCCCGCAGCAAGGGGACAAGCCCATGGGCACAGAGGGAAGGTGAAAGGTGCCTGACCCACAGCCGGCCAGGCTCCTGCAGCCCAGGCTGGCAGCAGAGCACAGCCAGAGGCGATGTCCCTGCTGTGCACGGCATCGCTCCTCGCAATAATAAGCCACGGGTGTTTGGCTTTCCTAACAGCCTAAAAGGGAAAGCTTGACCTCCACGGTGCCGGCGGAGCTCGTTTATCCCCAAACATGTGTTGAGGGCTGGATACTGGCTAAACAAACTCGGCTCTCCTGTGGTTTGCCCGCCGGTAGGGCTGCAGGCACACGGTTGTTTCTTTCCGTAGGCACTTCAGCAAGCGGAGCGAACAGCTCACCAGAGGAAAGTTGTCACATTCACTGATTCATCAACACTTCTCCGGCGGCAGCGGTACCTGTGCCATCTGTGTTGAGCACTTACAAAGAAACCTCTCTGCAACTGCCATACAAATCAGGGGCACCATCAAGGTCACCCTGAAGGGAATTTCGGGACACAGCGAAGATGTTCGGCGGCGCGGCGGTAAGCAATAACAGCATCCCCGCGCACGTCCTGCCGCATCCCCGCCTGCTCCGCCCCAGCCTGGAGCAGCCCAGGCCCCGCTGGGAAATGTGTATTATGCCTGGGTTAATTTACTGATTAATCTCTAGTCAGTGGTTTGTGCTTTCCCCAGATGGCCAATTAAAATTTACAACTGGCAGAGCAGTGCCCTGTTGGCAGGCTGCTGCGGGGCCGCGGCTGCAGGCAGCGACAGAAGGCGCGGGCCCGCTTTGCCTCTCCTCCCTCGCTGGTGGGGCAGGCTCGGGGTGCTGGCAGGCTTGGGATGTTGTCAGGTTTGGGGTGCTGGGCGGCACGACCCCCACCTGGCCGCAGGACAGGGCACCCCGTGGCCGGGCACCCCAAGCACCCCGCTGCAGTCCCCGCGGGTGCGTGGGACGCACACAGCTGGCTGTGCGAATCACACCGCAGCGTGTGGGGCTGGCAGTGAGGAGTGCTGTGATGTGTACAACGGATGGCACGCTTTTACAGCAGGAACGGAAGGAAAACAGAGAATTTTGTCATTTGGCATTCTGTACGGACGATGCTGGAGCATCCAACTACATAAGCATAGCGCAAAGCAGAAGCAGGCTATTGTGTGAGTCTTTGTTCAAAAGTTACTTGTGCATGGGAGTCACCTACGCTGGAAAACTCCAAAGCAAATTATTAATTGAGGCCAACTGATTTCCTGAAGAGGCCAAACACAGCCATGATGGTGGGTGATATCGCGACAATTTGCTATTTTCAATAACTGTCCTCATAGCTCAGAGCAACACTGAGAAATTTGGGAAGATATATTGTGAAAAAATGCTGCTTCTGCAAGTGCTTCCAGAAGATACCACAGTTCAGTATTTCAGAGCAAAATTTCCCTGCTGCTGCTTTTTTTTTTTTTTTTAAGAAGACTTCATGAATATTGATGGTAAACATAATAACAGCAATACTCAGGAGTATAGTCAACTCTTGCTGTACAATTCACATAATTCCCCTTAAATTAATGGCAGTTACATGTGTGCCCTGGATAAAGACTGCACCCCCATGCAAGCAATACCGAACCTTCAGCTCACTCTACAAGAACACAGCAAAATGCCCACTGCCTGTCAGACAGGCAGAACTGCAGCATCCTTGTAATTGTTTTGAATTTCCTTTTTCTTTTTAAGGTTGAATTTTCTTATGTTGCATCGCATGTACTTTTATATGCTCCTGCTCCACGTAATCATTGCGTCTATAAGGTAAGCACCTGAGCAAAACCCGCTGTTGATTACATTCACAAACTCCCAGACAAACATCTTTTCCTCCCACCTCTTCAGCAAACCTCCCTGTAGGGCGAGGGCAGCCCCTGGATGCCAGCACCCCACCAGGACAGGGCAGGGGTGTGTGAGCAGCCAGCCCTCCACCCAGCCCTGCGGGGGCTGCAGCCCTGGCCTCGTCCTGCTCCCTTGCACGGCTGCCTGCTACGGGGACTGGGGTATTTCTTGATGCCCACAGTGTTTTCCCCAGTCTCACCCCACTGCGAGCTGCCCAGCTGCTGTGAGCTCGTCCATCAGGACGGCACTGGCATCACGAGGGCATCCTGGAATCCTCCTTCAGCACGGAGGCACTGTGGAATTGCTCTCCCAGCACTGACTGTGGATGGTTCACCCCAAATGTCTGATTTTCAGTGTCTATGATGGGAACCCCACCACAGAGGTGCTCAGCTCATGTGCTGAAAGACACGATGGCACTGAACGGGTTGCTGGCGGTGGGTAGCCTTTGTTAAAGATGTGTCTCGTCTTTCTCTCTGCCAAATTTCTTTTCACTTCTTATAAATCTTAATGGTAATTTTTTAAAGCTTCTTAATTTTATGGGCTTGTTGAACTGCAGTTGGCTAAATCCTGCATCACTATTTCTCTTCTCTTGTAGGATGAGAGCATAAGCACTCCGGCTGAAGTAAGCACATGTGAGAATCTCAGATCCACAGCCTCCTCTGAAATGAGCATTGTGACTGTATTTTCCTCTGACCTGAAATCACTGGAACAGTGCTGGAAAACAACACAAAAGGGGGATGAACATGGTTCGTGTAAGCATTTGAGATTCAGTATCAGAAGACTTTTTGTACTGGGCTCCCTTTCCCAAGGCTCTCCAAGGAGTAAAGATGGAGCTACAAAACACAAACATCCAAGAGCTGGAGTGGCAGCTGAGCAGCACGGCCTGGGCTGCCACACTTCTACAGGTCCTGCAGGAAAAGCATGAGCCAAATTCCTAGGCTCTGCAATACCTCTGGATTTTCCTTCTTGAGACAACACGCGCTGTGGTGACCAGGCCTTGGCAGTGAGGGGTTTCTGGCTGTGAGGTGCATCCAGGGTTTCTGTGTGATGCCCAGGCTCGGGGCCAGGCTGGTGTGCTCTGTGTCTGCACGGCTGTGGTGCGTGCTTTGCCACCCCTTAGCCAGAGAAGGCAACTTGCAGAGATGAAAAAGCACATTGTACTGCACACTAATGAGCTGGTTCAGAAGTGCTGTGCTTGTTCCAGTTTCCAACACCTTGGCATACAAACACGTGCCCACACAGACCTGTGTCTGTCCCAGAGGCTGAGACCCAGCCCTGTGCTCCCAAGTGCTCCTGCAGGCAATGTCAGCGAGGGAATTGGGGCTGGGCACCACCACAGTGCCTGGTTTGAGGATACCTTTGCCCTTGGGCTGGGCAGGGTGCTGGGGAGGTGGCAGCAGGGCTCGGGAGCCCGGCGGTGCTGCCTCTGCCTCGCCAGCCCCTCACCAAGCCCTGCCGCTGCCTGCGCCGTGCCTGCGCCTCCCGCTGCTGCAGTGTGCCCTCAATTAGCCTCTGTAATTGCAGTGCGCTGGGTGAGGAAGCAGCCTGCTCCCTGCGAGCCCCCACGAGCATGGCCATCACCCTCACCAAGCACCCAGTGAGGGCTGGAGTGCGGCTGACAGCAAACCCTGTGCCAGGCATGTCCCGGAGGGGAGAGCAGAGCTTGGAAAAGCAGCAGTGGATTGCCACTGCCACAGCGTCCAGAGTGTGCCACGCTCCTCAAACTTAGTGCCACAAGCAGCTCCACTGCATCCAGCCCGGTGAGAGCAGTGTGGGAAGGCAGAAGCTCCACAGCAGGCAAGCACGGAGTGGTTCAAAGAGAAGTGAACACCGGGAGCTGGAGCTGAGCAATAAAAAACAATGGGCTGAAATTCAAAACACTTTTGTCTTGTGGAGCGTTCCTGGTGGTCTCCCACGGGACGTGGTGGAAGCTGCATCCCCTCAATAGCTGAAACTGCTGAGTGGGGCACTTGTTCCATCTCTGGAGAGAACAAAGCTGCATGGGCAAGGACAGCAGGGAAGCAGACCTAATAAGTCTATTCTCAGCTAATTTCTGACTGCGGGTGTTTCTGACTTCTCGTTTCTAAACCACTTACAAACAGAGAAGAGGCTCCATGTGGTCCCAGCACCTGCTTCCCTGAAATTCTCACGGAAGCAGCAAAACTTCTGCATGCTGCAACCACTCCAACAGCAAGGCCTGGCCGAAGTGGAGGGGCGTTGGACGTGTCCTGTGAAATGCTGGATTGCATGGCCCATATGGTGCTTGGCTGTGGCCTTTCTGAAAGAACACTTGACTTGATGACACGACAGGAGCAGCACACGGGCAGCAGTGCCAGCGCCAGCGTGCTCTTTGCTGTTGGACCTGATCCTGCCGGGCTCTGAACATGAGGGAGGAAAGAGAGACAATACAACAAAACACAGGCCTTCTGTTGTCCTCTCATTGTCTCTTTAACACGGTGCAGCTTTCTGGGAGCCAGGAGGGCAGGATCTGTCAGTCAGTTCAGGCAGCTGAACTGGGAGGATGCGCCTGGCCCGAGCCCTGGCTGCCTTGTGAATCACGGGCTCTTATTTTCCCCTTTCTCTTTACGGGTAAAGAAGATCAGTATTTTGGAAAAATCCAACACATGTTAATATCATGACCTGCACGGTTACTGTCAATAGAGATGGGCTGGTGATCTTTAAAAGGAGATTTTCTCAGGGTGAAGGACAAACATGACATTAGAGTCATCAAACTCCCTACCTGACAAGGACATATAAATTGTAAATGGTCGGGGGCACGGAGATCAGGTTGTCTTTCTTCCAGATGCTTCTCCGCCACAACAGGGATCTGCCACCTCTCATCTGCATCTCGCTCAGTGCCAGCAGCGGGGAGAGGAACAATTAATGGCAAGTTGCACCCTGCTGCCCACCGCTGCCCGCGGCTTCCAGGCACCAAAAGGGCAGGCTGGGCCTGACACACAGGCGGGCAGAGGGTGAAGACCATAGCTGCAAGAGGCAAGGAGTGTTAGGGCCTGATCCTGTACCTATTCACACGTTAGGCACCCTCCTGGCCACTGGTGAAGCCGGAATTCCTGAAAGAGAGGAAAATATTTTATTTATTTTTGTAACCTGTTCATTTATGTGCTTGTTTAGGCACACGTTCAGTTGCATTCAACCAAGAACATTTCAATTTACCTTTTAAGAATTTCCTTCCAGAACAGCATAGTTGGAAAAACTTGGATTTTTGTAGTATCCCCGAGCAACCAGCCCGAGCAGCCCTGACAAGTTCAGCTCTGGCTGGGTTAGATTTATGTGCACAAGATTAAGTGACCCTTTCCTGAGAAGAAAGGAATCTACTAGGTAGGAAACAAAGAGAAAGCGAGGAGAGCAGGACTTTTATCATCCTGTTCTTACGCACTGTAAGCAGAGGCACGCGGTGCTGTGGAGAGAGGCAAAGCCAAAATGTGGAATAAGAGCAAAGCCTGCCCGTCCATCCTCCGGATGATATGCAGGGGGGCAGCGAGCTCTGCACCAGGACCCCTTTGGCCATCCTGCACCTCACCATGCCCTGCAGGGGGGCCTCTCCTGCACCTCCCCGAGGAGATGTGCATCAGGGGGGCTCACCTTTGGCCTCCAGGGCCAGGGGCCTCCTCCCCCCGATACCCCGGGAAGGGAAGGATCGTCCTGCCACAGGGCTCAGGTTTGGTGAGGAATTAATCCGGGCTCCCAGCCCTCGCAGCCGTGAGCCAAATGTCTTTATCTGCCATGTAAATGCAATAAAAGGAAATACGCACAAGATTACAGAATTTACAGCCTTGAAAGGAACAAAATCGTATAAAGTGTCACTTCTATATAAAAATGTTGTCTCCGTCTTCAACATATGTAGCCCTCCCCACAAAAATGTGTATCTTATATAAGTCTTGTGGATGTCTCATGTATATCTATGTGTATATATATATATATACGTATTTTCTAAGGAATTACATCAAAGGACATTGTGGTCTTCATTCTCCCAGATCTGGCAACTTATCAATGCTATCCACATTTAATTAGTAGACATTTCTTTTCCGTGAGCATATTTACTTGAATTCCTTGTTCCTACGGCAACCCAGCGAGTGCTACAGCTCCAGGAACAGTCTAGACTAACCTAAAAAAGAATGGAGATTAAAGAGCAAGCTCAATATTAAGATTATGCTGCAAAGCCTGAGCTTGGTGAGAGCAGCATTACAAAGCAGGCTCCGATAAGACTCTTATTTCAAGGAGCCTATTTATAGCATTGCAGATTTGTATTTATTCAAGGGTACCTATAGTATACAGGCTGCGAGAGACGACTCATTTAGCACTAAGTTCTCAGTAATTGGCTATCAACTCAGGTAAGGGATTTTTTTTTTTTTCCTAATAATTACAATCCATTTTCATTTTAAAATACCTACCAAGGGAATAGCTAAGCAATATTCACACCATTTCTATTTACAGATGCTCTCCTTGCTGATGTAGTTGTAGTTTTAAAGCATACAAAATATCTAAATTATCTAATGGCATTGCAGCTGTTCAGAACAGAAAATATTCTTTAAAAGAAGACACACATTACCACTTCTTATTTACATTCTTACCATTCTTAAATAAGGTTTCCTTACCTAGTGTGAGTGATGAATACAGCTATAAGAAGACTGATACAAGATAAATATACAGCACTTAAGTCCTTTTGTCATTTCCTTTCCTTTCTTTTTTTTTTTTTTAAGTTTTTAAATGACCCTTCTTTTAGATTCAGAAAGGAAAATGAAGAATAAATTTAAAAAAGAGAAAAGGGCCACTTATCAGTTACAGAGAAAACCATCTCATTATCTCATTTGAAGATTTTTATTATATGTGGTATTCTGATTCTTTTAAGTAAAAAAAAAAAAAAAAAAAAAAAAAAGTGCATTCTAACTAGTCTCATGTCTTTTGCTTTAAATCCTCTTTGCACAATTTAACTTCAGACAAGATAGATCTGTTACAAGATACCTACAAACTGTTAAAGAAATTCTTACACAGACACCCAAAATGTATTACGGACTTCAGAGGTTAAAATTTATATATATATTTTTATGGGTGAAAGTTTAAGGCATTCATAGGGGAAGATCTCTCCAATCAGCATAATAAGGACAAAGATGTTAGGAAGCCTCTAAATTACCTGGTGTGGAGGAAGGAAGTGAAACTCTTCCCACCTGACCTTTCAGCACTGTTTTATTAACTCTAGGTTGCAAGCAACAAGTTTAACCGAGGGGTTTCTAGGTGGTGGCTGCCTTTGTGTTCAGACTTTCAGTGTAGAAAATGTTTTAGTGTCAGTCATCCGATTTGGAGACTGCACCAAACTCTCATTGTGCTGGAGCTTAGCTTTTGTCTGCCTTTAGGACTGGTCCTCTCTTTGTGTCAGAGCAAAACATTTAAATCACACCACTCTAACACGTACCTTGCCGGCACACACGGAGCTGCGAAGCCATCAGAAAAGCAGGTGTGAAATATCCCTTTGGTAAGCAATCACTGGGAGGTAATTGACTGTATTTATCCTTTTAATGCCATGAGTTTAGAGTCAAAAAAACACTACTTTTACAAAAATAACTTTCAGGTGCAATCAACTAATGCAAACACATTCAGAAATCTTTTAACTCCCTTTTGCTTGCGAAGCAATGGGAGATAAGAGATTGTATTTCTTATGCATTATTGCCAGCTTCCAAAGCTTTGGTTTCCCTGCAAATATTAGCCATCAAATGAATTAATTAATCTCCACAACCCAACAATGGCGCGCTTTCCTCTGTAGTCTGTGACCTGAACCCAGCAATCCTGTGTGTCCTCCTGCGCTTGTCTGAAGTGCGTTTTAATACCAAAGAACACAACAACTTAAATGCCATTCCCTGGTTTTATGAAAAAGCAATATCAGAGAGTAAATAGGGCAAATACCAACAAGGAGGGACACACAAGTTGAATCGAACAATAAATTCAAATAATATCACTAAATCGAAGAGGAGAGGCAGTGTCGGTAAGCTCCTTTCTCCCGGTGAGTTTTCTGGAAACTCTGGGAGCCGAGCAAAGGTCTGAGCACCCCGCTCTCCTTCTGCTTTCACAACAACAATCAGGACTGGACTGAACCTCTTCAAATAATTCTTCAAACAGAGATAAAGCATAAAAGACAGAAAAAAAAATCCAGCATATTCTTTTGCAACCGGTAATAAGCTTACACTTGCAATAGACTTGTTAAATAATTAGAGTTAAATTACCTCCTCTCCTACCACCACCCTTCTCAGCTTTTCACTTTGAAGTCACAGTTTAGTGGAGAGGAATCAGTGAAGGAACACACGGGAGAGGGCCGGCTGGACCACCAGCCCTCGCTCACGATGGGTTTGTGCCCTGGTGGCTGCGTGCGTGGCCGTGGAGCGCTGCAACTCGCCCGCGGCTCCCGGGCACAGCTCCACACGGGCACACGGCTGTACCTGGCCCTGCCCCAGGCCCCGCACACGCGTGACACACGCACACCCTGCACACGCGTGCACACGCACCCCCGGCCCCGGCTCTGAAACAGAAGGCACAGAAAAAGGAATTGAGATTTGCAGATCTGATAATGAGCCAGTTAATGACATAAATGATACCTCAAGAACCTCACTAAACCATCCAGGTCCTACAATTTAATCTGTAATAAATACTCCTGCATCATTGCGAGATGGCTGCTCATAATGGCAAATGAAATATGCTGGTATGATAGGTACAATAAATCTGGATTTTCCTATGGTTCCCTCAGGCTAGAACAATATGTAACCAGAGTGCGCACTGTCAGGATGAGCAGATCTCAAAGCCATCATAAAATCTAAATGGGGACTAATTAGGAGGCCCTTCCCTTCTAGAGTTACTATTTCTATTGACATTTTCCATGCATGAGCCCCTCCATAACATCATAAGTCACCAAGATAAGAACTCCCTAGATTATAGGGAAAAAGCTTTAATGGAGAAGTTGAACTCAAAGGCGATGCATAAATTTTCCTTCTGATACCACGGGAAGTCTGTGTTCAGTACTTTCTTTACAAACTTTCCTCCCTGGCCCCGGCTGTGGCTGCGCCACCCCCCAGTGCCCCGGGAGGTGCTGCTGTGGTTGGGGTCACCGGCACCCCCAGGGCCCTTGGGTGCTGAGCTGCCCGAGGGACAGGCTGCTGGGGGCGGGGGGCACACACCAGCCCTGCTCCAGCCCCAGACCCTACATAGGGGGTTTGGAGCACCAGGGACTCCCCCTGGCCGGGTGGAAGACACACGCTGCAGAAAGCAAGATTTATTAGCTGTTTACAGCAGACTTTACGTTCAATTTTCCCTTGTCACATTCGCACAAAGTAATTGCCCTTGTGTGTACGTGCATATTCCTGTTTGCTGAAGGCATGGGCACGTGTCCTTGCCTGCCTCCCTGATGAATTGCCTCAGGCCCAGCCTCCAGCCGGGGGATTTAGGAACCATCCTGCCACTGCGATGCCCTAACCCATGTAAATAACATGTGCGGGGTCTCCGTCCCTCATTATGACCACTGTGATCTGGCAGGGAGAAAAGCGCACAGGGAGCAGGAGAGGGCTCTCATGGTACGTGCTTTTCCCCAGAGCACCCTCGGAGAGCGCAGGGCTTCGTGCTCTGCCTCCTTGGCCAGCACAGACCGCTCCCACCCCGCACCCAGCGCTGTGACGAGGCTGGCCATACGCTTCAGGAACATTCATTAACACTGAGCTGAAATGTCTGCAGCACTTTGGCAGTCTCTGGACTGAGGGACAAACGTTTTCCCTCTAAAGGACCCGCGGGAGCACAAGCAGAGCGTGGCTGGCGGAGTCCCGCACAGAGCCGAGCGCACAGCGGTGCAGTACGGGCAGGTAACGCTCAGCAAACCACGTCCAGGCGTGTGCCCTGCTCCTGCTCAGGGTCACCCCCCTGGGAGCTGAATGCATTTTATTCTGCATTATGATTTGCTTTCTCACCCTAAAGGAGAATTGGTGAGGGGCCTTCAAACCTGCCAGGAGCGAGCGCACCTCAGCCTTTGGCACACTGCACGGGGTGTCCTGGGATGCTCAGTGCCACGTGCCCCTTCTGCCACTGCACAGGGACATGGCACGGAGAGCCTGCTTGGCACGGGAAGGGACAGCCTGGGCCTCTCAGCGGCGGTGGAACTGGCCCAGGGTTGTGGAGATCATGGAACACCCCGAGTTGGAAGGGACCCACAAAGATCATTGAGTTCAGATCCTGGGTCCCCAAAGGACAACCCAAAAAAATAATAATTATTATTATTATTATAATCAGATCATGTGTCTGAGAACATTGTCCAAATGCTTCTTGAATTCCAGCTAGCTCGATGCAGTGACCACTGCCCCGGGGAGCCTGTCCCAGTGCCCCAGTATTTGGTATCAGCCTCCATGAATCAGCTGCTCAGGAAAATCGGGTTAAAATTTCATGTTTTTCAGAGAGGTTGGTTTTGGAATTCTTCCACTTGGACCTGGTAAATTTTGACTTGTTAGAGGTTAGGTTTTCTAATCTCTTTCCTTTACTTAATTTTTAGAATGAATGAATTTCATTTCACTGTGATGTTGCCACTACTTTTTTAAATGGAAAGCAGTTTTCATCTGATGACATGCTCATAGCAGCAGGAGTAGCACAGAATTATTGGCGCAATTCATTTGTACCCGTAATCAATAAGGTGCTTGAGCAAATTCAGTAATTCAAACTGACTGTACAATTAGGATATATTTAACAACTCAAAATCTGTGTGCTGGGCAGCTCTGAAAGCTGCTAAGGGCACTGGGGGTGCTGGAGGTGCAGTCGGGCACCCCCTGCCAGCACGGCCACTGCCTCGGTGGCACCTGGGGCATCAGCTTCTGCCTTGCCACCTGCTCTGTATTCACACAAGGCTGGTGCAGTTTTGGTATGCAGGAACCAGAGCTGTGATTTGCTTTTTACGGCTGTCCGTTTCTGTGAATTAGGATAAAAACAGAGGAATGCGGTGTGTGCCAAGCATGTCATCGACGACTTATTCTTCCATAGCCTCAAAAAATATATTAAGAAAGAATCTGTATGAGCTTCTACAAATATTTTCCCCTTTGCATAAAAAAATATAAAAAATAAAATAATTTAAAAATACCCTGAGAAAAAATTGTAGCGAGGTGACTTGCATTGTATAGAATACATAATGGCTCCTACCTTTGATGACATTTATCTTTACTCATGAGGGAAGACCTAATAATATGAATTATCAGGTCCCTCCTCACTCATGAAGAATAATGTCATAAAGGACCCACGCCATCATACATTCAGTGTGGTCTGTACTAATCCTTCTATTGTTAGAGCAGGCTGATATCTCATGTTTTCATTGTTTTCGTGCTATAAAGTAAGCCTGCATGGAGGGGTGTTAAAAATGCAATTCTGCCAGAGTTTCGACCTGATTGAAATGCTGGAGTTTTCACATGTAATTATCTTTGATCTTCGAATGCACATTATATTTTTGAAAATTACTGACATAGGTAAACAAGCATTTTCTCAAAAACAGCATTCCTGAAGGATGAGTCTAAATACCCTTTTCTCAACTTTGTGTTTACACAGAGTTATACAGGGGAAATGAGCCTTCAGAGAATTATTAGAGGGCAAACGAGAAGCAGCCAAGTTTATGAAAAAATAGCACAAAAATGACTGAGAGGATAGAGATCTATATCCTAAGTCAACTCCAGTTCCATTTCATTTTTTTACAGGAAAATCATTGGTGGGTGCGATTCGCTCTGTATTTTCTACCGAGGCTTGGCTGAGGAGAGGAGCAGTCCCTCCATTTCCCAAAAAGCACCAGCAGGGTCCCACTGCTCCGCTGCCTTCTGCT